TAATCCATGCCAGTCTCACCTCAGACAGCTTGGCCCAGTTGAAGGACTTGAGTGGATTGGACGGCTGAGGAATGTTTTTCTTCTTCAGGGACGGTCCCACGGGAGCTCCTGGCGGAGGCGGAGCTGCACCGAAAGGAGGCCGTCCAGGGGGTGGCAGGGGGCCACCAGGGGGCGGTGGTGGAGGCGGCGGCATCACAGCACTGCCCGGTGGAGGAGGTGGTGGAGGAGGCATCATGCCCCCCGGTGGAGGTGGAGGAGGTGGAGGGGGCAAGAGAGGGCCACCTGCAGGACCAGGGATGGGAGGCCCTCCGGGAACACTGGCTACTTGTCTCTAGAAATACAAAAGGGATGAACAGTGGTCAGTCTTTATTAATGTTTGCTTTCGTAAAAGGACGTTTACATGTTTTTGTATTATTATTATTATTAATATCTGTGACCTCATCAGCATACCGTGCTAAGGTGATGTAGTCTGGAAGTCATTTCTGACACCTGCTGCTTGACTAGTTTATGTTCCCCCATTTCTCTTTCTAACTTCTCTTTCATCTTGTTGAGCGTTTGCATCATCTCCTCCTTCTCCTGAGTTTTTGCATCACACTCTCGCTCCTTCTTTTCCAGCTTCTGTTGAAGCTCATGGTGGTCTACAGGACAAAGAGGTTAAAGTCTCTACAATAAAGACACTGCATTCCAGCCAACTAAATCAAACTGAAATAAATAGGCTACATTCCCATGTCAGAATTAACATAATTATGAGATGACAACTCGGAGAATCTATTCTGAGCTGATGATGTTCTCATTTTTAGAAATTATAAGTTTATATGGCAACGCTTATAATGTCAAATAGATGCCCTGTGCTTGTTGTTGTTGATGACAGTCAGATTTTTATATTAATTCACTTCTACATGCTGGTTCATTTTTCCATGATGTCATCATGATGGTCAAGTCATTCATTAATCAATTTTCAAGTTGTAATTTATAAGTTTGATGACATTTTACATTGTTGTTTAATCAGAGTGATCATTTCTACATGAACAGATGAAAATGAGAAAAAAGCGCATACAAATAATCTGTCAAATATATAAAATACACAAAATAAAAAATAAATCTGCAGAATGAACGAATAAATTAACAAACAAACAAACATAAATTTTATTCAATGCTTAAAAGTACAGCTAAAAATAGTTTCATGAAAATAAAAATATATATACATAACATAAAAATAAAAAAATATATAATTAAACAAACATATTATTAAATGCTAAAACGTATAGCTAAAAAGTTTCATGACGTCATTTAGCATTGATGTCTTGACAGCCACGTCATTAAAATTCACATGAAATTCAAGTTCTGAAGTTGTAATTTATAGGTTGCCAAAGACATTTTTAATCGTTAAGTCAGAATTTTAATCCTTACTTGATGTGAATGCATTAACAGTTACAGAGGATTTAATCTTAATGCAAAAATGCAGACTGTTGTAAAAGAAACATCAATGTGTACAACATGTGCTGACCTTTACGCATTTTTTCCGCCTGTTCCTTCCACTGTTTCACCTCATTTTCATTGACAAGCCTGAAAAAGGGTAAGTGATGTGATTTAAGGAAAAACTCATTATTTCTGTACAGATCTTGGTTTATTTGGCAAAGACTTAATGAGGGCATAAAAAAACTGCAACTACTATAAATACACTACAGCAACATATGGATGCCAAAGAAAATCAATTATGATAAAGTTGCCTGAAAAAAGAGGCAAACTCACATTCGAACCACATTCTTTACATTGAAGTTTTCTAATGGCGTGACATCAGGGTCGTGACCTTTGTCACTCTGCAGGACCATCTGTTGGACAATGCGGTCCAGGAGCAGCCAGTACTGCACTGTGTTCCCACTT